AGTTTTCCTGGTTTGTTTTTATGATCAGAGCTTACCTAAAACTCATATAAAGTACATATGCTGTGACACACAGTAGTAAATTAACATGGTAGTGTTGAAGGGTACAAAATTAGTTAAATGGATGCACTCAGCTTTGTGAAAATACTTGGGGTGCTATGGTCACAGTGATCTGTGATCTTGTGGCTTTGTATTTTCGATTAATTTTAACTTATGGTTAAATATGATGATTGTGGCTTAGAAGCTCAAGGAAAAACTCATGCAAATCTACTGGCTTCTAGACTTCCTGTCTAGAATATCCTGTCATAGTAAAATTTAAGTGAACAAATAAATGGTTAGTAGAAACAATGTAATGTTCTTATCTTTTTTAAATCTTGTCTGGATGCTTAAAAAATTCATAAACTGTCAACTGCAGCATTAGAATTGTTAAAAGGAAGCCTATTTCAATTATTTAAAAAGATTAGAACGAAATTTCAGATAAAAGGACGGTCCTTAAAATTTAATTAAATGTTGGTTACAGTATGTTTTCTTGCTTGTTCTTGTGTGTGGGCGCTACATTTTACAGATAATTTCAATGTAACAAGTTGGAGCTCTGGAATCTGATCTCTTTCCTCTAATAGTGACTCATTAGTAAAGCTTTAGTCACGTGAGCAGGCCCAGTCACTACTGCAGATATTTGTGTATGTTTCCGTTAATTTTTTTTATCATTATCTATTTCAAGACTAAACGTTTTTTCTCCCTTCTTTCCTTTCTTTTTTGGGTTTTTGAGATAGTTTCTCTATGTAGACGCGGCTGCCCTGGAAGTCACTCTGTAGACTAGGCTGTCCTTGAACTCACAGAGATCTGCCTGCCTTTGCCTTTGAGTGTTGCGATTAAAGGCGTGCGCCACCACTTGGTGAGAATATTTTTAAAAAATATTTTTCAAAATTACTTGTTTGTGTTTATGTCTATGTGTGGGAATGTGTACTTGAATACAGGTGCTCTCAGAGGCAAGAAGAGAGTGCTGGATCCCCTGTAGCTGTAATTAAACCAGACAGTGTAGTTCCATGGTGCAGAACTCAGTTCACTCATGAGCTGTTAACTGCTGGGCCATCTTTTCAGCCCTAACAAAATTATTCTTGAAAAGGAGAGGGGATTTTTTTTCTCATCCTAAAACTACTGTTGTGGAGGAATATTCTTGTGTTAGAATAGTTACTATTACATTATTTTAGCATTTTAAATAAATCTGTATATATTCTGAATGTGGGGCAGAGGAGAAGCTGCAAGTGATATTGATGAAACTGGAAGTTAACTTGGAGATTGTTATAGATAAACTGTGGTTTTGACTTGTACTTTATAGATGTAGTGGACTAATCAAGAGAATATCCATTGTGCCTAAGATTAACTCTGTACAGTTCTGCATGGTTTAGTGTTTTTTAAGAGTCACAGAAGTATATTTGTTATCTGAGTCAGTTATTGATAGATTATGGTGAACAAGTAGAAGAAATACATGGATGCTTGAAGTTATTTGCTTCATTGTATTCCTTATTTAGAATCTATTGTTTTAGGGCAGGGGATGTATTTTTGTGGCAGAGTGACTAGCATTTGCACTGTGCTGGATTTGGTACCCAGCACTATACAGAAAATAAAGCTCCATCATTTTCTTCTGATCATTTTGCTCTATGGGAGAAATTTTGCTAGGGACAGTTGCTAATAGGTATTTTTAGTTATATAGATCCTAGACTCCCAGGCTGTCTCTAGTTTTCTCATCTGCACAGGGTACAGCTGATATGTTAATTGAGAAAACTGTATAGAATGTGTACAGCTGAAAGTGCATACTGCTTGCTGCTCGCATATCTGGTACTTGGCATGCATCCTTGACTCTTAACTGTGCAGCAGTGTGCACACACACACGCATACACACACACACACACACACACATTGTTCTTGAGTATGCTTTTGTCATTTAATAGCAAAGGTTTGAACTTATATCAGTGCCTTATTCTGTAATTTCATATTGTTCTAGGATATTTTGTCAGAATTTATTTAGCCAAACATTATTACGTTGTTTCTAGTGTTTTGAATTTGAGTTGTTCATTCTCATACACATGTGTTTTCATGCCTTATTTAACAGAATACAGGCTAATAAATGCCTCATTAGGTGATTATTTTTATTTTATTTTTGTTTTTTCAAGACAGGGTTTTTCTGTAGTTTTGGAGCCTGTCCTGGAACTAGCTCTCATAGATCAGGCTGGCCTCAAACTAACAGAGATCCACCTGCCTCTGTCTCCTGAGTGCTGGGATTAAAGACATGTGCCACCACTGCCCAGCAGGTGATTTTATTTTCATTGATGTGTATTATAATTTATAGGAATTTAGATGGTTTAGGTTAATCACTTGGCTTGGCCTCTTGATGCAGTTAAGAGACAATAATTACAAGATATATGCTGCTAATAGGATATTGTTTTACAGTAAATTTAAAATAAGTACACTTGAAAATATACTATAGATAGTGTTATAAATCTGCAAATCAGTTACATAGCTGTTCGTTGTCACAGTCACATACTGTATACTACATGTTGTCAAATGCGCCATGTTTTTATATGACTGGCAGAACAGTGAATTTCTTCATACCGGCATTACCACAAATATTTGAGAAACATAAGAAGTTATGTTATTACAGAGTTTTCAGCTCCATTATAATCTGGTTGAAGGTAGTTCCAATAATTAATATATCACTGTTTGAAACTATATGTAGTGCATGATTGTTTACATACTTGTGAGTGCCTCTCCTTTTTTCCTCTTTCCCCTTCTCCCTTTTTTTACCCCTTTTTGTTCTTTCCATCTTTCTCAGGGTTTTTGAGTCATTCTTGATGTAGTTCAGGCTGGCTTTTGAAATTTTGATCCTCTGCTAAGATAATAGATATGCTCCACCACACTTGACTCTACTGGGATAAATTATGATAGAGTCACAGGTAGATAGTTAACCAAATGGTCTTCATTAGAAGTGTGTTTACATTTGAATTGCAAGGCCTCTAAATCCCTACATAACCCGCTCTGTGGTTTGATTTTAATGTTGCTATTTTCCTTACCTCAAGATTTGATTCAAGTATGTATGATGCATTTTATCCTTTAAAAATGCAGTTCACAATCCTAAAATTGTACAATTCACTTCCACTAGTCTTCTGTGATTAGATAAAAGTATTTTATTGTGCTTGACATTTTACACTATAGTTTCTCATTACAAATTCTCCATATCAAGTTTTTTCCAGTAGTTATTGAAAATAATCAACTAAAACATACAATTTACAATGGTTTATTGAACTTAGATTTTCCCTGTTGATCTTTTCATTGAAGAGCTTCATGTTGATGGTGCTTATTGTTCGGTACTGGGATTCTTTCAGAAGTATTTTGTTTGTTTTGTTTTTCAACCCATATAGAGCCATTAGAGGCCTTGCTAAATACTTAAATGTAGAATCTTGCTTTGTACAGGAACAGACAAAACTTCACAGAGATTAGCCTTTGATTTTGAACATGTACTAGATGTTGGTTTTTGACTATTTCCTCTCCCCCTGTTTTCTTATTTTCAGGCAGAGGTAGAGGTGAATGTGGTTTCTACCAAAGAAGCTTTGATGAAGTAGAGGGTGTGTTTGGGCGAGGAGGTGGCAGGGAAATGCATAGATCACAGAGCTGGGAAGAAAGGTAACTGAAGTGTTCAGATTGTAATATAAGGATTTGTTGTTCTAAAACTCACTCCAGTGGGATTCTATAGTATACTTTTCTGCAATGTCAGTTACTTGGCAGGCTGAGGGAGGAGATTTTGGAGTTTACAATTTGGAGATCCTTCACAATTTAGCCAACTCCTGACTCAAAATAAAAATGGAAAAACGGGCTAGGATTATGACCCATTGGTAGCTCTCTGGGGAGATTCACCCCTTAGTACTCCAAACAAAACAAAGCACACTGTGTTCCTTTTGTGACCGGTACAGGGTTGCATGTTCCTGTGATCCCAACACTTGAGAGGCTAAGGCAGAAGAATCATGAGTTCCAGACCAAAATGGGCTGCATAGTGAGATCTAGAGAATTACAAAGATTAGGTAGGAAGTTTATCTCCTCTTCATCCCCCCTTTCCCAAGAAAGAACATTCTGGAAACACAGAACTTACCCATTTCCTTCTTTTTAGAGAGCTGAAGCCTCTGTATAGTTGCAGAATTTCATTCAACAGTATTAACTATTAAAGAGCTACCGTGGTTAGAAAATCTTAGATGATCCTTATTTAAAACTATAAGCATGAATAGGTAAATAAATTATTATTATAAGCATGATTAATTGGTTTGTTATTTCATTAGCAGTCATTTTGTTGGTTGATATGTCATTTTGTTGGTATGAAGAATGCATCTTCTCAGGGCTTTTGACTTTGTACGAAGTCTGGCAAGATTTATGAGGGCAGTTGCACAATAAAGGCATAAAAAGGAATGTAAAGGAATAGCTGTTGTTGTATCTATAATACAGAAAATGGAAACTGCCCAAACAGATGATAGTGCCATCAAATACTGACATTTCCACGCAATAGAATATATCATATAATTAAAGTTACGGATGAGTCCTGATCTCAAAATAAGAGTAGAAGAGTTAGGGCTGTAACAGTGGTAACTGTCTTGTGCAGCACCCCGAGACTCTGAACTTAGTACACAGAACCACAAAGGAAATTTAATGACATGGAAGAACATTGCCAAACTAGTATATAAAATAGTCTTATCATGTTTCTAACTGAAATGAATAATATTCTAGTCATTAGAAGCTAATTTTTGGTAGGTGGTGTTGTTTTGTGGTGTTTTCATCATTTTACTTTTTCTGTATTTTCTAAACATTTGGTAGCAGAACTGATGTTAAAGGGAGTACAGGAAAGTGAGTATCATGATAGGAAATCTATGTTGCTTTCCAAGCCTTTTTTGAAATTTATTTTTTTTCTTTTAGGGGTGACAGGCGCTTTGAAAAACCAGGAAGAAAAGATGTAGGTAAGGTTCTTACTGTTTTGAAATATATCCTGGACTCTCTTGTTATTAATATTCCACAAGGCCCATACAGAAAGATATAAACTTGTGCAGATTAACTGTTACCTGCACATATCCAGGAGATGGAGCTGTAACACTGTTGGTCTTGTAGATCTTAAGGCCTTCCTTCCATGGGTGAAACCAGGAGTCATGAATGCAGCTTTTAAGAGTTCCTTGATTTGATATTTTAGGGTTGTGTGTTTTCTACAAATGACACTTTGGTGGACTGAAGTGCTAAATCAGGAACTAATCTGGTTACCCCTTATTAGCATAGAGAATATCTCATAGGTTAGAACAGGAAAGCTGTTGAAACTGTGGCTTTTGTGTGAGAAGGCAAAGGCTAAAACAGAATATTCTTACTTTAATCAAGTATCGGACTATTTTTCTTTTATTGTGTATTGTATGTATAATGTATATGTGGAGCTGAGGGGACACATATCACACCATGCATGTCAAGTTTGTGGAGTTGGTTCTGTCCTACCTTCATGTGGATTCTGGGGCGCAAACTCAGTAGCACCTTTACCTGCAAGCCATCTTGCAGGCCTAACTTCATTTACTCAGTATGTTTTTTTTTCTTGTGAGATGTCAGCTGCCAGATGAATTACATAATAAAGGTATTTATGTAAGAGCAAACTTAATAAGGAAAGTAATTTAATGTTTCTGATGATTTAGTTAATTAGTAATGTTAAGAAGGGTTTTCTAACTGGTAAATTGATGGTCTGCATTAATATTTGGTGAAAAAAAGTGCAAATTCACAGTATCAGTACAGATTTGAAAATTTTCCATTTCTTTATTCCTTCAAATACCAAAAATGTTCCACAGAGTATGATTATATTTGATAGTGATTAATATTTTTCATAAGCATGTTAACTATAAGACTGTTCATAGACTGAATTGAATGAAAATGGTTTGTAAACAAGAAAGTTAAGATGATCAGTTTCATTTCACTGCTTCCATCTAAAACTCATCTAAACATTTTTGAAATTTAGTTTTAATCATTATTGTAGCATTGGGAATTCTTGGTTCTCATTAATGAAATGACATTAATTGAGTGTAGCATGATGAAGTTTAGGTTTGACTGGGTAACTTCCCGTCACACTTCACCCATATTTTAGACAGACCCTTTTGTGGATGCTGCCTGGAGAGATTAGGTAGAACATTTATTCCTATCTTTTTCTGATTCATTACTTTAAAAGCATTTTTATGTGTATGTATGTCTCTTTGTGTGTATATTTTGTGTTCAGGTGCCCACAGAGGCCAGAAGAGGTTGTTGGATTCCTTGGACCTTGAGTTACAAGTCATTGTGTGCCACTCTATATTGGTGTGGGGAACTGAACTCAGGACTTTTGGAAGAACAGCAAGCAGTATTAACTGCTGAACCATCTCTTCAGGCCCTGACTCAGTACTTTTACCCTTGATTGTAGAGAAGTGATGAAGTAGTACAGGATTTGAAATCAGAAGGGCATGTTTATTCTAAGCTCTCATAGTCCTTATTCTCAAAGTAAAATGAGAAGAGTATTTTAAATCATTTATTCATTTAACAAACATTGACTTCCTAAATATGTTACAGGCCTTGTGCAGGTGCTAATAATGTTTTCTCTAGAAGATACTTGCTGGTCAGATTATCAGATCAGTGTTCAGAGGGAAGTAGTCTATGGAGTAGGAATTTGAACTTCATAATAAAGGGCCAACTCTAATGAAATGGAAATTTAACAGCAGAAAATGCAGTCTTACGTAAATAAGCTATAGAATTTAAAGTATGGAGTAGCTTCTTGGCAAAACACTTAGCCTTATTTGAGATGACCTCAGTTTCATGTTAATCAGCAGTGTATAGGTCAGGGCAGTATTTACTAGATCTAAATTACTGTCAGTAAGCCAGAAGATGGAAAGCTCATTGCCTTTTATTAGTTTCAAATTTTTTGTTTATGTGTATGTTTGTATGAATGCATGTGCCCTCATGTGTGTGCCTATGAAGGCTAGAAGATGATGTTAAATCCCAGAGAACTGGAGTTACAGGCAATTTTAAGCCCCCTGATGTGGGTGCTGGGAAACTCTGTTCTGCTGCAAGAGCAGCGAGTCATCTCTTCAGCAAACACCCCATCCCTCATCATCGCCTTTTGTAATATTAGATGGTTTAAGCTTTGTGTTCACTTTGGGATCACATCTTGAAAGAAAGGGGTCATGCCTTGCTGTTGGAGGCCAAGCCACTTGAAGCCTTGTGATTGCAGCTTCATCAAGGAAATGGGTTGTTTGGATAGGAGACGAAACTGTGGGCAAGATGGAGCTTGGAGAAGGGTTTGCAGGGTTACTACAAACATTGGCTTACAGATCATATGAATGAGAAATAGGGCTTGACCTGCTTGAATTTAAAAGTCTAATGTAAGGTTCAAGGAGGCAGGTGTTAAATGCACTTTAAAAATGATCTAACGGTTTCTGAAATTGTTGGGTGCTTTGGGGAAGTAGTGAGTTTTCTTGGTGAGATTAGCTTGATTATTTATTTATTTGTTTGTTTGTTTGTTTGTTTTAAAGGCAGAGTTTCGCTATTTTTTCTGGCTGACCTGGAACGTACTATGTAGACAGGGCTAGTTTCAATCCTAGATCTGTATGCATCTGCTTAAGTGTTGGAATTAAAGGTTAAAGGTGTACCACCATGCCCATCTCCTGTATAACTTGATTTTTTAACTTTTACATTTCAGTGGCAGGAACAGATAAGTAAAAGTTTCATTGTTATCATTATTTGTAATTATTATATGAATCTAATTAATTTTCCTAACCTGCCTCTATTTTGAACAATAAAGGTATTTTGTACTCTATGTAAGCCTTTGATACTGTGAATCCCAATTAGGCATAGTGTTGAGTTTAATCATAGCTCTTTGGGAGAAAAAGGCTAGCAGATCACTTTTAAGTCCAAAGCTAGCCTGATCTTAAAAGGTCCCGTCCCTTCCACAGCTCAACAACAACAAAAAGAAAAGTTGAACCATAAAAACATAGTTGTGAAATGTCAGAAGGGTATGGTTAAGGAAGGTAGTAATATGCTGGTTGTGTGTGTGTTAGACTATAGTACAGTGCTTCATACACATCTAATAGAATGCTTTGGTAATGTGAGTTCAGATTAGCTGTTCAGGATTCTGATCTTTCTGTTTTTGTTAGTAATTGACATTTGTTGAAAGTGATGCAGATTAGAATTTGTTAATGATAATTACAGCACCCTCTAGGGATAGTGGTACTAATTTGTTGAGACAAACTGATATATTGATTAAGTGTGACATGTTCTATGATATCAAATTAAGATAATTCAATTATTAAAGATACCAGAATGACTTGTTCTTTTTATTTGGAAATTATGGTTACTTTTGTGTATGAATTGTACATATGAGCATGTCTGTGTCTATACCCATAGAAATGTATGTGGAGGCCAGAGAAGGATGTTGTGATTTCCCTGTCGTTTTCTACCTTATTTACTTGAGTTAGAGTCTGTCATTGAGCCTGAAGCTGTTTTGGTTAGCCAGAAAATTCCTAGAATCTGCCTGTCCTATCCCCTCGCATCCCCAATTCTGGGGTTACAAACCAATGAAGACATTTTTTTGCTTTTTTTTATAAAACATGGATTCTAGGATTTGAACTTAGGTCCGTGTGTTTATACTGCAGGCACTCTTACCTGCTGAACCATCTCCCCAGCCTCAGCTTGTTCCTTTTAAAATTAGAAAGGGGCCATACTATATACCCACTCCATTTAATTCATTCATTCATTTATTCATTCATTCATTTATCTATCTATTTGTTTATTTATTTTGATGCCAGGAATCAAACCCCAGGGTCTTGTGAAGACTAGAAAAGTACTCTGCCACTGAGCTACAGACCTAGCATATGTGTTAGTCTTATATGTGAAGATAAATGGGCAGAATTACAAACATCTGGATAAGAAACATGGCTTACCCCCTGTAAATCCCCCTGGGAGAATAAATAGGTGGGAAAAGGCCTGTAACATTTAGATTTGTAAGTCCTATTCAACAGGAATTGATTGCTGCACAGGAAAGATTAATTCCTGTGATCATCTTATAGTTTCTGTAAGAGTGAAATAAAAATTATCATTAAAGACAAATGATCCTCATGACATTAGTAGGCTCAGTCAAGTATGATACATCATACATTTTTATGTGAAGTATGTGGAAATAGTACAGTACTCTTTGTAAGTCCACCAACATGGATACCTATCAGGTTGAATTTCAAGATACAATATGCATTTTGGTGTGAAGTACTTGGAAACACAATGATTTTGGTTGTTGTTACACTTTTTAAGCATAAATCTAAGTTGAAGATTTTTGGTAACGACTTCTCTCCAGTTTTTTAGAACTTCATACTTTGTTACTGGTTTCCAAGAGTAACTTTACTTGGCTGTTAAGTTGTCTTCATTGTTGAGTATATGAGTTTCCAGTGATTTCCTCCTTTCTTCAACTTATATTTCATAGTCCCGAGGGGATAATGCTCTCTCTGAAGAAAACTTAATCCTAGGAACTCTGATTCTTTGAAATAAATGAAAGAATTTTGGACAATGCTACCAGAATATTTCTGGTTCTTGAACAATAATTTTTTTTTAATTACTTTACTTATTATATATACACTTGCCAGGAGAGGGCACCAGATTTCATTACAGATGGTTGTGAGCCATCATGTGGTTGCTGGGAATTGAACTCAAAACCTCTGGAAGAACAGCCAGTGCTCTTAACCTGAGCATCTCTCCAGCTTCCTGAACAATGATTTTGAATTACATTTTTTTTTGTAAAATTATTTTTATACATCAGAGTGTTCTGCTTGCATGAATGTCTGCGTACTGTGTATATCCACCTAGTGCCTGGGGAGGCCAGAAGAGGGTGTCAGATCTCCTGAAACTGGAGTTAAAGAGATGGTTTTAAACTGCTTTATGGGGTGCTAGGAATCAATTTGGGGACCTCTGAAGAGCAGCTAGTGTTCTTAACTACAGAGCCATCTTTCAATCCCTACCAACCAATCCTTTTTTTGGCGGGGGTGGGGAGGGTGAGGAAGGCACTTTTAATTTTCAGATGTTGATTTTGCCTGACTAGTAACTATGGAATGAGATTTATCTGACTTAATTGGGGAACATGAAGCATCTGTAGGAATATTTTAGTTTCAAATGTCTTAATGTATTCACTGTCTAACAGGCAGTTTGATAAAGTTGAAATCTGTGTAAGTGATGTAGTGTTCTTTAGAAAGAAGCATTCAGGGAGTCTCAGATAAGGTTTTCTTTTCACAGGTCAGGATAATCTTGATAAGGAATTTCTGCTGTCCTCATCAGCAATCTTAAGTTGGTTTGCCTGCCATAGAAGAGTATATGTCTCCGATTTTTAAACAGCAAAGCTTCAAAATAAATAGGTTCTGTGTTCTTAATAGTCTTCTGCTATTATCAGTCTTAGGACACTCAAGTTGTTCTTTATTTTCTTTTCCTTTTGTTAAAAAGTAGAAAAATGTGACTTGCTGTTCTCTGTAACATTACTGTTACTTAGTATGTATTTCAAGATGATCCTGTTTGGGTCATCCACCACAGTGAAATTTAATCTTGTACTTTTCCCACTTAATCCCAAATAAGGGAAATGGAAGAGGAGGCATGCAGTTACAGATCTCTTTGAAACCTGATAGTATGATTTTTTTTTTTATTTTGCTGGAGGACAGCTCAAGGTTTCAGTTGAAATGAAGATTGTTTAAAGAAGTATCTTAAGCATGATATTAAAAAAGGGTTCATCTTAGTATATATAAAATAAAAACAGGCAGAGAATGCATAATTTTCATGGAATATTAGACTTGGAAAGAAACAATAGAGCTCATCTAGTCCAGCCTCCTACTGGTGAATAAACACTCATTTTGTGTTTATAGAAAAAACTATTTGATGTTGGAAACAGGAATTTGGGTTTGAAAATACTTTGTTACCTAATTTTCTGCTTTGTCTATTGGAGATTTTTTCCTAGTTGCATTATATCTTAATTCAAGTTTTGTATCTATAAAATTGTAAATTTATATTTGTATTTAGGAAGGTTGTATGACTTTTATGTCATTGAATGGGTCATGCATACTAAGATAATGCTTTCAGATGCTGAAGTGATTAACTTTTAGACCCCTACTTGAGTATTATGCAAGTAAGAGTTTAAAATAGTAGAAACATACAGTTTTGCATCTCTTGCCAGAAATGCCGCCCTGCAGGTTCTGTCTGGGTCAGAGCTTTTCTTACTTGTTTTGAATATTCTACCAAAAATATATGAATATATATACATGTGTTTGGGTATTGTAGTCAAATGTTTTTGGGGTTATCTATAAATTTATATTGTTACTTTACTTTTGTATTTTTGTTTCTAACTGTTAAAAATTTGGGTGATAATGTCCTGGTTTTGTAGTTTAAAGAATCAGAGGAATGATGTTTGCTGTCTTGAAAAAATAAAAGTCGTAAAAGGCTGTTCACTAAATATTGTGAAATCAGCTTTCCACCCAGGGAGCTAGGCTTGAAATTAGACTGTTGCTTTAGTTTACAAATGAAAATGAGAGCTGATTTTTCTTAGAGTTCAGCTGTGTTAGCTTTCACTGTCCATTTTAATCTTCCTTATTGATACCATGCTACATCTTTGCAGCTTTGTTCACATGGGTACCTATTAGATTGAGTTGCCTTGATTTGAGCAGATTACCACTGATAGAAACTTGGTAGCATAGACTGTTTTGTTTTAAGTAATGTGTATAGTTAGCTTAGCCATTTTTTTGTGAGCATAGACATGATGTAATCAACATTGAGGAATAGGAAACATGAGATACAGTGAAGGAAAATAGCTGCATAATTGCCTGGATATATTTAATACATTAAGAAGTGGGATGGAATAGGTGAGTCTTATTCTGTCAGCCCTGTTTCAGAGATTTGAAAATTGTCAATGCTTTGTCCATTGATATGAATATCTAGGTCAGTCCTGTGTGGACTCTTAGAGACCACAGGAGTTGAATGTTCAGGAACAGTCTTGTCAAAATTCTCCATCTTGACTTGATACTCACCTTTGGAACCTCGAGTTATCAGAGCTGCAAAATGGTGATGTAACATGATCTCAGAGGGTAGGTAGGATGTCCTTCTTTGACAAATTTCTCCAGTGCCTTCTTGCATTGCTGAGAGGAACACAACTAATTCAAAGTGTGGAGGGTTCTCATGCTGGAGAAGGGTACCTAGAGGACTTGCTGGTGTGATGGTATGGTAGTAGGTTAGTGGGAAGATGAAGAATGGACATTCCTCAGAACTGATGCCATCAAGGTGGAAGTCCACACTGGTCTGGTAGAGTTCACCATTTTCTCTTTCCTGGTATAGTACAGCTGAGACCCGAACACTGGTCAAAGGGCTGGGCCGGATGTTGGCCACTTGGAAGATAAGATTAGGTTTGCCATCTTTGTGAGCTACTACTGCTAAGTCAGTGAAGCGAATTGAGAAAGCTCTGTTTTTTGGCCGTGCAATCTTCGCCACAAAGGCACCTAAATTAAAAACCATTGAGATATTTTTGTTTTATTTTGTCGTTTTAAAGAACAGAAAACTTTAAATCTCAATACCTTTTCTGAATGGGAAAAGTATGCCACGTAGTTACCTATTTCTCACTCATTCTACTGAGTAAGGAATTTATACCATTGTTCATTTAGATAATCTTACTTAACTGAATTTTTGAGAGTATATGTAACATTTCTGTTAAGAACCAACAAAAAGCCCATGATTTCAAAACAGCTGTAAGAAAAATTTGATTTGTTAGGAAGAAATGTAAAACTTCATCTTGTAAGTTACAAAGATCAAGAACTGATAATTTTCTATATTCATGCTCTTATTTACAAAAAAGTAATAGAAAATAAATTCAGTATGGTAACAATTGTACAACTTTGAGTAAAGAATAGATTCAGAGCTAAGTGATTAGAAAAGGAGAGGGCTGGAAGAAGGGTAATGTATTAAAGAATGTTTCACTTTGAAGTTTCTAGTAGGCTGTTTTTGGGAAGCTTGCCATCAAGTGATTCAATATATCTTTTAAGTGCATACTTATTGTGTACCTCTCACAGCTATAGATGAGGGTTTCCTTAACCGTTCCTGTGCCTCAGAGCCTGTTGCCTGGCTGGTGAGGCATATTCAATCCTTATAATTATATATATACACATATATATATATATGTGTGTATCTATATAGTTTATATATGTATATAATTTATTTTATGCATTGAGTGTTTTGCTTGCATGTTTGGTATTTGTTCACTGTATGTGTGCCTGGTGTCCGAGGAGGCTAGATAGAAGAAGGCATTGTTGTAAGCCGCTGTATGTTTTCTGGAAATTGAGCTTAGGTCCTTTGTAAAAAGAGCAACAGTTGCTTTTAACCACTGAGCTATCTCTACAGACCCCATAATTATGTTGTAAGTGCTTAACTGTTAAATTCAAACAGAGGAAGTCAAATATATTGAAATTCAATTAACATTTGTAGAAGTGTACAGTATTACATATGCTGTATCAGTGCATTAACAACATCTAGCAGTGGGTTATACTGTAATTCTGAAGTATTGTAGTTAAATTGAAATACCTGATTCTGTTTATACCACACTTACTGGTAGTGTGTGGGTATCCATCTACCCATCTACCAATCTCTCCATCCTTCTATTTGTCTCTGTATAACTTAAAATTCATATCATACAATATTTATGTACAACTTCATAATTGAAGGAAATGGCAGATGTAGTTAGGGGTTAAGTGCAAAAATTTAAACATTTTCCCATCTAAACACATAGATTATCTAAAATTTATCTAAGAAAGGAGCCAATGTAAATATACTTATAGAAGTTAAGTGATTTGTTACAAAGATGTAGAGCCAGTTGGTAGCACAGTGGTTCATCTTTCATGATGTTCAGTGCTTATCTATTAATCTATTAGTATGCTTTTTTTGTGTATGCTACAAAAAAAAAAAAATAAAGAACCAGCACTGTTAGAGGAAAGAGTCTTCTTGTGTGTTACCAGACATATAGTAAATATTTATAGCCATATTCCCATTGCATTTTGTCTATATCTGTAACTTTAAAACATGGTGCTGAATGTGCTGCTGGGGGCTTGTGTTGAGTACATGGTGATCTCAGAGGAGAATGTTCTACCATGAGAAAGAAGATTAAGAAGTCAGCTTCTTCTGTCAGGGAGCATGACTGTTAAAATTTGTGTTTAATATACTTACATACTTAGCAAAATAACTTATGTGTGAATTACTTTTAGGTTTTTTGTTAATTAATTTTGCATAGTATATTCCTGCAAGTTAATGATATGGTCCTTTTTTCTTACATAGTTCTAGTATTCTTTATATATTTCTATTGTTTGTTCCTAGATTCTTTTCTTTCTCATTACCTACTTATAATAATACAAATAAATTGTTTATAGCAGACCTGCCTATAACCAACTATATACTTTATAAAAGGCTTGTAGTATTTTTTTTCTTTAAAAACAAAAATAATTACCTGTGATAAAAGCCTCTAGCATGAGGCCTAGGAGCATTTGTATGGCAAGTAAGGCGATTGCACTTGGACAGTCACCACTGGGGAACATGGTACCGTAACCAATTGTAAGTTGCGTCTCCAGGGAGAAGGAGAATGCAGCTGTGAAACTGGTGATGTACTTCACACAGATAGTGTGGTTTTCAGGTGGGTCGTCGTGATCTATTTCCAGATCACCATTCATCTCAGCTAGAACATACCAGAGTACTGCAAAGACAAGCCAGTGGACAACAAAAGAAGCAGAAAAGACCAGCATCATCCAGCGCCAGCGCATGTCCATTAGGATTCCCCATGCATCTCGAAGATAAGCAAGACCTCTTTGAGCACCATCCATTTGAAGTGTGCTGTGGCCATCTTTTGTGACCATCCTCCGGTATCTTTGACTTAGAAGAGGAGCGTTAACTTTACAATTACTGCTGTCCATCTCAGACTGCACTTCTCTGAAACAAGAGTAAAGCAGTTAGTCCTTAGCTGACTTAGAGTTCATATTCATGAGTTCTGAAGCATTCTTAGAGTATTTAAGTAAGAGGCTAATTACTGGTCAAACCATTTATTAACTGGTTATGTATTATTTTAGGATATTTCTTACACTTTCCTTGAGTGACTGTAAAAATACCATTTGATACTTTGTTTTCTAAATATATATTTGAATTCCAGAGGGTGAGGCGTATGATTTATGCTTTTTTAATACCTACATTTATCTTTGCACAAAGGGAAACATTAAGTATTTATTGAGGGGCTGGAGAGATGGCTCAGCCGTTAAAGGCTAGGCTCACAACCAAAAATATAAGTATTTATTGAGTTAACTAAATATCATTTCTAAATAAACAATTTCTTTAAAATTTGCTGATAATTATGAATAATAGTTAAGCAGACTAAATTTAAATTTATAAGTATTCTATTCTTTAAATAAGTACAATTCATTGAAAGTTAGTCTACAATACTTTGTTTTCTTGCAGTTGCTGGCAATTAAATCCAGAACTCTGGACCTTGAGCTTGCTAGACAAGGACTCTATATTGATCTAGGTCCCCAGCACTCTGCATATGTTTTGATGTCAGACTTAATACTAGGCCAAGATTTATTTATGTTAATCTTTTAGGGATTCACAGGTTCTTTCATCCATCCATCCATCCATCCATCCATCCATCCATCCATCCATCCATCCATCCATCCGTGTTGTGTGGTGTATGTTTGTTGTGGGGTGGGTGATAATGTGTTCCATGGTGTTCTTTTAAAGGGCAGGAGACAATCTGGCAATCAGTTCTCTCCTACCTTGTGGGTTCAAGCTCAGGTCATAGTCTTAATGACACTCACTTTACCAAGTACACCGTCTCACTGGCCCCAGATACACAATTTTAATGTATTCCTTAGAATTAGCCTATTGAGAACTTTGTGAGTAACTTTTATTTTGCCATTGTGGATATATTGATATAGTCTTTCTGTCCTGGTTGATGGATGGATAGCTGTGGGGCACACACATTCTTGGTTCATACTAAATCAGTACAAAATATGAAATTCCTGCCTGGAACTCATTGGTAAAGCACCCATCTAACATATGTAAGGCATTTGGTTCAACCCCCAGTATAACTTCTACACCTCAGTAAAAGACATTCCAACTCGATGTATCCAGATAACACCCTTTGCCCCTCGTACTAGGAATGGACTCTGGAGCCTTATGCATGCTAGGTAACCTTTTTCCCACTGAGCCCTCCTTCCAGCCTTAATAATGGTAGTTTTGAGAATAAGTAAACCAGAAGAAAAAAAAATTAAACATTTAACAAGCAAAAATAAACAATAAAAATTCAGATGACAATTTTTGTGATCAGTTTTCATGATGGGATAGGCTTTCCCCTATGTTGTTAATAGATATCTAATGTATGATCAACCTTAGACAAAGTAAGTATATATATCTATATCAGGAGTTTTTAAAGTGACTCTCAGGAACAAATCAAGGAAGATGGCCTACCTCTCTTTCACTAAAGGCACTTCTTCCAAAGTAGACAACTTGAGAGTACTGCATACCCACTTATGTTCCTCTTGCCCTCTCCTCACTACCCCATTTTTGTTTCCTTAGATAGCATAAGTTGGTGAACTTCAGCTTCTCCTGCCTTAGTCTTCTCAGTTCTAGAATTACAACATGTGCTATCATGCCTTGCTGCTTTCTTCCTTTTGATACTTAAGAAGGTGGAGTGATGTTACTTGGGGTTTACTGGATTGGTCTGTCTAGGGACTCTAGGGTTTTAGAGACTTTTTCTGTTACTGGGTTTGGACATTGGACAGCTAGGCATGTGTGACTTTGTCTTTTGTCCTGAGGCTATTGTAATCTTTATTGGTAAAACCTGGGCTGTTTTTCTTCCATATTTTTCCTCAGTTTTGAGCTACATCTAATTGGACACTGGATAGTTAATCAGTTTAGATAAGAGCTCATTTTAGTTTCATGTGATAGAGTTTAAAAAACAAAACTTCATGTTGTATCACTTATTGCCCTATCAAGTTGTTATATCATTAAGAGTGTATTTTTTTGTTGTTTGGCAAGTGCTGACAAGTGAGCCATACCTCACCCCATATTTAATGCTCCTTATTTTGCTAGATGCTTAAAATATTTTAGAAGACCTGTTTTCTCCTTTTAGAGACAACAAAACCTTTATAGATTCTGTGCTAAGTACTTCATACTGTCTACCTACCCCTCCCTCTCTCTATTTTTTTTTTTTTTTGAGCCACAAAAGTATATAGAAAGGCAAGAGATTATACACATTACATGAGAGCTTTGGATTATTTGCCTAGTCTGGTTAACAACAGTTAATTTACATTTAATTTTTTCCATAAGAAGCTGTATATTCAGCATTTATGCTATATTATATTCTAAAGCTGATCTTTGATGGTTCCTAACACATTTAGTAGGTGTTCTTCTTGCTCCTGTTACTGAAGTGACTAGTTTAAACCATGTCTGCTCTATACATGATTCTTAACGGTGGTAATGATTTATAATAGTAGCTGATATACATTGTTTATCCTGTGCTAGGCACCATTCCAAATTCATGGGAGGCTAAAAGGCAGTGCATTGCGTAAGATAAATTCAGTATTAGTTGCTTTATTGTCACTGATAATGCTTCTTAACTTTTATAGTAATAACTACTGATAGTATTCCCATTTTGTAGTGAAAGTGAGGCATGATAAATTTTCCAAAATCATACATTTAGCAGTTAGTGAGTGTTATTCTCAAGCATACCAGAATTCAGAATTATTGCTAAAAGCCAAGACATTTGACTCTGGTTAGCCTTTGTGAGCAATACTTTGTTCAAGAACCAACATAGGGGCAAGGAGTGGCAGTACATGCCTTTGCTCTCAGCACTCTGGAGGCAGAAGCAAGAGAATCTCCAGCCTCATCTGCATAGGCCAGCCAAGGCTACATAGTGAATTTAAAAAAAGGCAAAAAGAAAACAAACAGAAAAACAGGAGCCACTAGATATTGGTACTCCAGGAATCCTTATTGTGTTTAAGAAATAGATCTTTAGTTAAGGAAGACTTCTTTTTTAAGACTTAAAAATAAGCATAATCAGAATTATTGTAAAATACAGTACAGTAAAGCAATCTGAAGAGGGGCATCTTATGCAGCATTGCTTTGAACATACCTTGGCAGATAAGAAGATAATTAAAAATGATACTGTTAACATATTTTTATAAAAGAAATGGTTTTGACACAAGGAGGAAGGCTACAATGGAGCTGTCAGACTTAGTTGTTCTTGTGTCTGTGGAAATGCCTCTTGTGGGACTGAACACTGGTAATTGAGCCTTTGGAGCCATTGTCCTAATGAAGTACACTAAGGGCTCCCTGCTTTACAGAAGCAGAGCAGATCAAGTTCACCCTTGCTTAAGTCTTGACGGCTATAGAACCCTGTAACTGGAAGGAGAGCCTTTCTATGCACACATTATGCTTCATCATTATTTTCACTTGGGTCTTTTTATGATTGCTTTGGTTATTTCAGGTTTTGTAGCAACGTTATCTAGGCTCTCTACAATTTCATTTTTCCCCCTCTAGCAACCAAATAACATGGAAAAAGTCATGGGCAGGGAAGTCAAAAGGCCAGTATCAAAACAGTGAAGCATTTTTAGTTTTGTTTTCCCCCATGAAACATTGTTGACTTTTGTTTGGATCATGTAGGGAAGTAGTTGAGAGAAGTAAAATTTTGATCCTCAGTGGATTACTTTGATGCATTCATATAGTCAAGTTACTGCCGTGCAGTGCAAAGAATAGGTTTACGCATAGGGAGCATGGCCTGGAGGCACTGGCTCTGTTTATACAGAGCTCTGTCATTTTGGGCAAGCTACCATGTCCCCTTGGTCAGATATTTTAAATTAAAGCAAAGAATGTGGTTAAAAGAGATTAAATAACATATTCCCTTAAAGTCTACCTGCTAGTTTTTAAGTTTATGTCTAGTTTCTCAACTGATATGTGTTTCCTATTGGATAGTTCCTGTATGATTTTATGTGTGCTTATATGGTTTAAAATTTTCATTGCTGTTGGTTGATATTTATAGGATTTTCCCCCTTCTCCTTCTAATGTAAATGTCTGATTAGTAGACGTATTTCCAAATGATTTTTACATTCTCACAGGCACATGGGGGCATAAATATCTCCTTCCCTCCTTCCCTCCTTCCTTTTTCTCTTCTTCCCTGCCTCCTCCTACCCCTCTTTTTGTGACTTGTTTCATAGAGCCCAGGCTGCTCTCAGCCTCAGCAAGTGTAGCCAGATGTCTTTGAACTAATGGCTACTGCTTCTATCTCTCAAGTCCTACGATTACAGGTATGTGTTGCTGTACTTGACTATGAGTGCATTTTGAATGCATTTGTCTTGATTTAAATTTTTATGTGATTTTCATGAACTGATCACAACAGGAAGTAGAATAGACAAGTGGAAAATTTATGTGTGTATCTGTGTGGGTGCTGTAAAATATTTAGGCATTTATAAATTGTTTGATGAGGAAAGTACTTATTTTTAGAAATGGTAGTTTGATAGGTTCTTTATCGAAATAACACAGTTACTCTGTCCATTAATTGGTAGCCCTTAAACTTAGCTTTTTCTGTTGCTGTGCTTCTAGAGGAGTGCTGTAATTCCTGTTAGACAGTTAAGATAGAGGCTGCACTTAGAAATGTTAAATGAGTAGTGTTTGCTAATGCCTTATGCAAACACTTTAAAGGCTGTATTGAAAGTCTCATAAGCACCTTTCCTGGCCTCTATAATTAGAGTAAACAATGTGAATTTTAACCCCATTATGTAAGCTCAGAGAATAGTTCATATTTTAATTTCTTATATATAGAATCTATTTCAATAATAATTCCCTGCTTAAAAAGAAATTTTAAATTAGGACACATATCTTTTTTGGATTAAGACAATTAAAAACATAATAGTTTATTCTTCTGGCATTTATTTCCATATGCTTATATTGAGTTTTTCTAATTCTATTTTAAACACAGTCTTTTCTTTTAAAAGCCACTGAGTTTTATCTGGTATTCTTTCCTACTTATTTATGTATTGTAACAAGCAATTAGTATGTATTTACTGAAATAATTGAGAGCTAAACTTTCACTAACGTTTTAGCAGTGTGGCTATTTGCCAGTTCTAAAGTTGAAGAAAAAAGAACAAACCTTAGCTATGACTGCCTAGGTAATGTGTCTGTTGTAAAACTCTATTGTAAGCAGTCTTACTTTGTCCCTATTTACTGTCAGTATCCTTGCCTATTCCCTAAAAGAAAGAATAAAAATGAAGGTTATTTCATGTACTCACCAGTTCTGTTGTGGGGTCAGCCTACCAAGGTAGGTCTCAGTGAAGTTAGTAGTCTTGTTTATTTGATCAGGTGGTTTTAACCTGCAGTGTAGTTTGTAGGTTCTCTTCTTAGACTGGCTTTGCAGCTTACATTCCTGTGTTTATAATGTCGTGAGGGCTGGTTTCAGCTGAAGCTGATGTGATTGGTCACTTAGTCTGCAGGGGGGGCCAATTAGCTTTGATCATGTGGAAAAGAATGCTGGTTTGTTAGGAGGTCTTTCTTTACCCAACACAAACCTTAACAACTCTGGAGAAAGCCTCCAGAACTGAAGTGGAGAAGGGGTGCATTTTTTCTCTCTAATCAGGACCGGTTTTTAGTAAGTTTGCATAATCTTATTTAAGAGTTTATTTGAAAGTTCAAAGGGATAAAATTCCCTGCAAGATTTCCTTTCAGCCCTCTCCTTATATTGCCTGTTAAAGTGTGAGGTATCTCTTTCAGTAATCTTTTTTCCACCATTTCTTGACGGGAGATTTAGTTGGGTAAGGATGTTTAGGCATAATTGATGAGTTGATTTTTTTTTTTAACTTTCTTATCAGATCTCACCTCATCAGCATGGCTCCAATTAGTTTCCATACGAGTAGGTATAGATCATTTAATTACCTAAACAGTGCACACGCACACATCCTCCTTCCTCCTTCCTAATTGCAAGGGAACAGACTTTGGTTTTTGCTTGGTTTTCAAGTTGTATAGTAAAAGGAATATGATTGTTTGATGCCTTGTACTTTTCTTTACAGCACCCTGGTGAAAGGAGGAAGGGGTTTTCTTAAGGCTTGCTTTAGTGATCCTTAGTGGAATTTTCTTTCTCTCTCTTTCTTTCTTTCTTTCTTTCTTTCTTTCTTTCTTTCTTTCTTTCTTTCTTTCTTTCTTTCTTTCTTTCTTTCTTTCTGGTGTGATGAAGTAGAATGAAACTGTTCATGGTATAGGAACTGTAGCTCAGTACTGAAATTGCATTTACCTGAAAAATGTCAGCAATCCAGATTGTAACAGCCTCCACATGAGCTGAAAGTATGGCCTTGTGTAATACCTAGTGAGCAGTATTTTCTCCTCCTCTGTTAGCTGCCAATTTTAAAACTTTGATAAAATGTTACACATAAGAGGATCTGGGAAACAAAGACACTGCTTGTTTGAAGTAAAAGCTTGGGAAGGCCTGCTGGGAAAGTTATGAATGTAGACCAATCTAATGCTACTTAGGAAGGGAAATCCGACTTTGTGGATTTCTCTCCTGCCCTTCACAATTTAAAAAATAGATTAATTCCTTCTTTGTTTTATTAATGCCAGACATTTCAATACAAGTTTAGGCATAGCCCTAGTAACTTTGACCACCAGAACCAGGGAAAGTAATCAAGGTGAGATTCACATGTAAGATTTATTCCCTGCATTTGTTAGTAGGAACACATGGGGTCATTTTTCAGCTAGCTGATTGAGGAAAACACCTAACTGAAGCAATAGAAAACACTAGAGCAAGTAGTGCTTTTCTTCCCCAAAAAAGCAGGGCATTAGCATATCTGCCACTATCTTGAACCAGTAGGTAAGACGGAAAAGAATGCCATTCAATTTAGGAAACCTCTCCCACCTTAAATAAAAAAAAAATTTTTGACTCTATAGTCTACTGTGCCTTCAACTTAGGATTTCCTTGCCTCAGCCTCACAAGTACTGAGATTATAGACATATACCACTGTGCTCGACAGACTTTTCCATAATATACTCTAGTTTAGACTGTATCGACACGAAGATGATAGAGTAAGTTAATCAGTGTCTTTACTAGGTGTGGTGGCTCATATCGGTAATGTCAGCTATTGGTCAGCTGAGGCAGTAGGATTGCTGCGAGTTTGAAGCCAGCCTCAGCTACACACTGACACCCACACATACACACACGAAAGTGTACCCACACATTGACTTATATGAAGTAGTTTTCTGATTCTGGGATACTTCCAACTTGGGAGCCTGCCGTGGACAGTGACTACTGATGGCTGACTTTAGAAGTGAGACTTTGACTTTGGGGAGCTCAGTATTTTAATATCACTCAAGTATCTAAATCATTGGAAGATGGTACTGTCAGCTTGGCTGAGGTGACATTGGTTATGGCATATGAGTTATGCCACCTTCACCTTAAAAGACATAGTAGGTATGTCACAGTAAGGTAATTGGAGTAGGATCTAAAGGATCTCTTTGTATGAACATATAAATGTTACTGTTCCATTGATTTTTTTTTGGTTAAGAGTTGTTATGATTATGTCTAGTGCCACAAACAAGTAAATTAGTCTTTATTAGATCCAGATCTCTGACCCTAAAGGTACTGATTCTTATTTTAGCTGAAGTAGCTTAGTAAATAGTCTACAAATACACTATAGTTTTCTTTAAAATGACAAAGGATTTGTTGGAGTGCAGTATTTTGCCTACTCTTGTATCTGGTCTGTCTGACTGATTGCATGTATTCTTAACTTATATAACTATGTTAACGATACCTAGACTCCAGTTTTTTTTTTCTGCATGGTGAAAGTTGACAGGCAGCTTCTGGGTGTGCTGTCAGCACACTGAGCGTGAGAGCTCTGGGGATGGGGACATATGCCCATTGTTTGAGGTGCTTTTTCAGAGACATTCTTACATACTGCAGCTCCCCTAGTCGTCCAGCCAGAAGGCGCTGAGCTTTCAGGACTGTGCTCACCAGCTGAGCAGAGATTAGGCTGCAAAAGTTTAGAGACTTCTAGAGTAGACTTTAAACTCCTATTTTCACCTTTCTGAAATTATGTTTATAAGTAACTATTGAGAACAAGGGGAAGTAAGTGTCTATACTTGCATGGGATTCCCTTTCACTACCTAAAAGAGAAATACAAAGTTAATTGCTACAAAAATTTGCACATAAACAAGCTTCAAAAGTCTGTCCCATAATTCCGCTTTTGCTTTTGGAGTTTGGGTACTTGTAAGCTCCAAGTTTCACAGCTGTAGATTTTGTTGGCTGAATGCCTCTGTGCTCCATCTGAAGTTTTCCATAAACATCATTTTTGGCTGTGAGTCAAACATGCACACAGGTGCCCTTTTACCACTCCTTCTCCTTAGGAAGTCCACCCAGAAGACCAGGCAGAAGTCAGCACTCAGTTTTCATTTAATTTGTAGACGACTCCTATTCTGCCTTGATATGTTAAGGGAGAAACAAGTATGTCCTGTCATTGGGGGATACTACTTGTACATAATATAGTACATATGTATTTAACAGCTTTTATATGCCTTAAATGACCATGATAAGAGCAATTCTGTAGGTAATATTATTTTCTGATACAGCAGCTCTATTTACTATATTGAGCAGGAAAAAATGAGTTCTCTTTCTTATATTTACCTTTTGAAGATCTTAGACAGCATTAAGATTCTAATAGCCTTAGACCATTTTTCCTGAAAAACAAAGTATCCTTGGTCCCAGCATACTTCCAGTGTAGGGACTCTCAGCCCCAAGCTCACCCTTGATTGTAGCTTGGGAATAGCTGCTTTATCTAGTCTCTTTTTCCAGTGACTGCCTTCCTCAGATATTCCAGGCAGTTTTTAGGTGTGTACCAGCAGACAGCAAGCATGAGGGCTGTAGGGGTGGGGGCATATTCCTATTCCCTGAGATATTTTTAAAAAGAAAATTCTGATCTGTGTCTTTCTATTTGTTCTCTAGCCAGGAACTGTACAGTTTATAGACATGCATTTACAGAGTATTATATTAGAGTTAGATTCACTTTTAAATCATCTTCTTTATAAATTGAATTTTAAAAAGTTACCAGAGTTGTTCTTTACTCAACTTTGTCACTGTTCTGATGTATTACAGAAAAAAGAGTTTGAGTTTGAGTGCTGGGAAGGGCCCATGTGGGTGGCCCTCATTGTAGCTCTAGCCACCATAGAACACTTCAATTATTAGACACAAAAAGAGCATAAGATAGCATCTTTTAAACTGTCTGTGAATAACTTTGATGTTTGTCATTTAAGTTTCATCAAGAATACACAAATCTACCAGGCGTGGTGGCACATGCCATTTATCCAGCACTTGGAAGGCAGAAGCAGGCAGACCTTTGTCCTGAAAATTAAAACAAAAAGAGTACACAAATCTATATTACTTTAAAACTAGATTATACAAGTGAACCTCTTCATCATTTCTACTTGTTGACCAAAACTTATACAACAGATACCTACTAATTAGAAAGAATTCCAAACTATTAGAGTGGCTCTTCATTCAATGCTATTTTTAGCTATTAGAGAAATTGGAAATATATTTTTATATTGTTTGAAGCCACAGTTCTTAAATTAATTTCTAAAACAAAACTTTTCTATTGGAGAAGTTAACCAGTTATTTTTAGAAATAAATATTTTGAAATTAATTTGGTAGAAATATTGAAATAAAGGTAGTTTCTGCCTATGGATGTTGACATCTCCTAAGTTTTACCAACTGTCGTCCTTTTGGAGCTTGGCAGGCTTAAATCCTAGATCTTCCTTTTCCTACTTCAATTTTACTAGAATTTCCAGCTGCTTTCAATGTGCATAGTTGTGAGTAACCCACTGAGAGTAATGTAGTAGAGATGGGTTAGGAGGTTGCAGGCCTAGGTTCTATTTCTGATTCATGACTCAGCTATGTGATCTTGGGAAACCACCCACAGGTATCCCTTTCCGCACAGGAACAATAGAGATGGTGAGGTTTAACTTAATCTCCTGTGGTTATTAAGACGATCAGGTGAACTATATCAGGACATTGTATCAACTGTAATGTATCAGGTCCTTTATTTCCATGTGCATCCCTGGTCTGTGGCCTAGAGAGCAGACACTGTGTTCAAGTCTGTCTTTGTAATCCTACTTGTGTAATTGTGTCTGTGTATGAAAGAGACATCCTATTATCTTTTACTCTAGGTTTGAGTAAAATAGTCAAATAGCAAAGTAATACCATTTCTTTGGGAAAATATATGATAGTAAGCTGAATATGATGTGTACCCAAAGAAACATATCTCTTTGCTTGCTAAAATTTGTGTATAAGAATGCTCATAAATGTACAGTTCATAATAACAAAAAGCAAGAAACAACCTAAATGTCAACAATTCAAGAGCAATACATTGAAACTGTTCATACTATGAAATCTTGTATACCAGTGGAAAAATATTTTTCAGAGGTATATTAATATTCCATTTATATCAATTAAGTTCAGTGAGTATGGTATTTGCTGTACAAGCCTGATGACTTAAGTTTAATCTCTGGAATCCATGTAAAGATAGAGAACTAGCCTCACCAAGTTCTCTGTCTTTTCACATGTAGATTTTGGTGTGTATGCACCCAACACCCCAAATAAAACTCCTTAAAATCTGTCTGGTTGTCTGTCTGTCTGTCTGTCTGTCTGTCTGTCTGTCTGTCATCCCAGTCACAGTTTAGCCTTCCCCAAATAAAGTTTTTTTTTAAAGTTCTAAAGGGCAAAATTAAGAAATCAGGATATTGCATAGATTTGAAAAGGCTGATGGGGAAAATGTGAAGATTTTTGAGAGTTTTTTTTTTAAACAAACAGCTAAGGTGTTAATTTTGTACAATTGTTTGATTAAAAACAATGAATTACATATCTTTTATATGTACACCCAAGAACGTTGAACTTTAATTAAAGGTTTTTGAAGAGGAAAGTAGGAAAGAGTGAAGTCTATTTACAAGTCCTTGAGTCTTTTTCACCCTTTTCTATGGAAAATGACTATGCGTCCTGAAGGTTAGATGTGGGATTATAAGGACTGTTGTCATATAGGTTTCCTTGCTTTACCAGTAATTCATAATTGAAACCTTTCTATTGTTGATATTCATATGTAATATTTAGTATATATGTAGATTAGTGAAAAGAATATGACAGTTCTTAGAAATTGTTTTATAGTAATAGATATTTAGTAACTAAAATTTGAATTCTGTTAACTGATTTACTAGTGTTCAGGTAAATTCAGACTGCTTCATATCAGACCCACTACTCTCAAATGAGAAATGTCAGGATATAACTGACTTACTGGTCTTGCTAGGCGATGAATAATCATAGAGAAATACTTGCTTTCAAAAGTGGAAAATGGGACTATAAGGCAGCAGGAGTGTAGATTCCAGTGAGAGTGTTACTCAGGCTCGGCTCTCTGGTGATGGTCTATACCCAGTCACTTGAAAAGCAAAAGCAGAAGGGTTACGTGAGCCCAGCTATTGAAAGCCTGTCTACAATATAGTGAGGGGAGGGAAGAACACTCATCTTGTTTCTATGTATGTTTGTATGTATGCATTAAATTGTGGCCTAGTTATGTTCCCAGTTCACTTGCCCTTGCTCTCTCTTTCTCATGTGCTGTCTCCCATGCTCGCTCCCATGTGCTCATGCCTTCACTTTCACTCCCATCTCACTATAGGATAGCTTGGTTGCCTTGAACTTTTTGGCAGTTTTGTTTTAGCCTTCCAGTTTAAGACTGTAACATTATTAATACTTTGGTGATTTTAATTTTTATTTAATAAAGCCTCTAATAGTTTATTCTTTTAAGAAAAGTGATAATCAGTGTTTGGCGAGTTCTGCATTTTGCTATTAGTACTATATTGCTTACTTTAATATGCTCACTACTCCCAAGGTCCCATGTGGAAAAGCAGATGATGAAAATGAGTGGCTAGATTAGTTTAGCCTTCTGTAATTAGCACTTTGTGTTCTCACAGCTCAATAGCATTTGTGACCATTCCTCATTGTTTTTATATTCAAATACATTAAGGGTTTCTTCTAAATTTCTCTATTTGTGAGGGTAGCTACATTTTTCATAAAGCCATATAGCAAACATAGTATTTTATAAAGTATATTGGTCCCTCAATCTAAGCAGAAGAGCCTGGGAGGTCCTTTAGTGCAAGGAGTGAGTGTGTCTGTACTTTTTTTTTTTTTTTTTGGATTATTTTTTGAGCCTCAATGTTCTCAGTCATAAAATGGGAAAATTAACTTCCTATAAGAAGAATTGGAAATGAAAAAATCAGTTAAGTGATTATTTTGGTCTTTGCCTAATGTAGATGACCCCAGAATTTAGCTGAATGACTTTTGAGTTAAGGTCTTATTTAGCATAGCTGGTTTCAGACTCCTATGTGAACCTGTGATCCACCATCTACCTCCTGATTGCTGGGATTATGGACTGACTTATGCTACCATGCCATGCATGTTTATTTCTCTGCTTCATTTATTGGCTAGTCCAAGACACCTAGCCAATGAAAGCAGTAAAATTTGTCTGCCTATTCTTTAGTCATTTTAGAGGTTCTTTTGGGATTGGAACCACTTTTAATCTTATGTTTCTATAAGTGAAGAGCCTTAAGGCTTTGCAGTATGAGCTTCACTACAGGTACCATGGGGTAGCTGACTTTTTTCAGAGAACGATTCCAAGATGCTTAAAGAGAGAGGCCTTTTAAATTTTAGGATCAGAGCTAGGCATGGTGATACCCAGCTTTAATCCCAGTACTCAAAAAGGTAGAGGCAGGCCAGCTTGTTCTATATAGTAGACTTCCAGACCAGCCAGGGTAACACAGTGAGATCCTGTCTCCAGAAAACAACCACCACCACCACAACCAACAAAAAACAACTTTAGATTCAGAAAGTGACATTATTTTAGGTATATTCTATTTTTTGGCAATAATTTCAGCTCACTCTTAAGAGAAAATTAATACATGGATACCAACGGCTAGGGATTATTGGGGGGATCCTGGAAGCTGTGGACCACAGCAAAAAGCAAATAGTGTTTTTCCTAGCAGACAATGTCTTTTCTCCCTTCTAAGAATTTTTTTTTAATTACATTTTAAGTCTCTCTCTCCTCCTCTCTCCCTCTTCTCCTCTCTCCCTCTCCTGTGTGTGTAGTGAGGTGCATGTGTGTGAAGGTCAGATGACAACTTTGGAAGTTAGTTCTCTCCTTCTACCATTTGGTTGCCAGGGGTTAAACTCAGGTTGTCAGGTTTGATAGCAAGTACCATTACCCACTGAGCTGTCTAGCTACCCCGATCTAAGGTATTTTATTATTTAGTTGGAATAATACCTGCTAACAATGAAAAACTGTGTGGACAAACAGAATGTTAAATCTTAGTATGTATAGAATGTAATATAACTAGAAACAAGGATTTCCTCATTGAATTCCTTCTTTAAAACTTTCATTATGGATTAATTGAAAGGATTTGTCACCAAGAGAACATGTAACTTGCAGATTGAGGGTTTCAATTTTCTTCTAGTTCTTTATTTTCAACTAGTGTGAGATTTTGTAAGACGTTACATATCAGCATATATCAGTTTGGCTTACCTTGCCTACAGTTTTTTTTTTTTTAAATCAGTAACTCTTGAGACATTATTAGATAGCGTAGCTATCTATTGTCATATTCCTCTATTGCTGAGTAA